GCTGCGCTGTGGCCAACAGTGTGCTGTGCTGTGGCGCCTACCTCTACGGTCCAGAGTCCAGAGTTGCGGTAATTTCAGGGGGCCTTATTATCGGGGAGGCCTTATGTTTGGGGAGGTCTTATTTTGGGGGGATGCCTTATATTTCAGTGAGAGGCAAAACTGTAAGTAGGTCTTATTTTCGGGAGATGTCTTACTTTCGGGAAAACAAGGTAATGAGTCTTGGGTGGTAGAGCAAAACGTAAGAGTTTTGAACAAAAAGGTTGATGAAATTAGGAACCGATACTGGGGACACCCGTCAACAGCATCCTGGTTCCAGAACCCCCTCATCTCTTGACTCATGCTTCTCGTGGGGTCCCTGGTGATAATTTGCTTCCTGTTACTGTTAGCCCTTGTTTTTTCAAGTTTCTTCAGAACAGAATAAGGGACACTACCAATTTGACTGTTAACCAGCTTCTCTGATGCCCCTACAGCCCCTGCCTACCGAATCCGACCCAGCACACTCCAGCCTGCAACCCCTTGTCACCCCCCCCACCCCATGATAGCAGGAAGTAGCTAGTTCAGGTCACGGTGCCCCTTATAATTTAAAAGGTCTGAATGTCTGGACAGGAACAGTAAGGCAAGGGCTGACCAAAGCACAAGACTGAAAGCAAGCCAGACTAGCCAGCGCCAGATAAGATAACTGGTACCCGGAAGTAAAACCAGATGCTCGAAGTTCAAAGAAAGCCACAAGGCGTAGACAAGCAATTCTCGGAGCAGCCAAACCCTATCCATAAATGCTGGACATTCTTTACCATCCCTTTAAAAACTTGCGCCCCGTCTGCTGGGTGCGACTTCCCTGACCTGTTGGCCAAGCTCATGGAACCTCATCCGGGAGTTCCCCTAATAAAACTATTTCTGTTTCTGCTCTCCTTTGTCCTACACTTTGTCTGTCTCCCCATGCCTCAGCCTCACTTTTACAATGATGACAACAAATGTTCAAAGGGGCTTGACACAATGGATGGATGTATGGATTGTGATAAGAGTTATACGAACCCCCAATAAAATGATTAAAAAGAAAAGAATACGTCTGGGATCTTAAGGCTTGTTTTCAAACAAGCAGCCATCTAAGTGAGGTGTCAACTAAGTCAACCCGGAAAAAGCACACCAGCCTGTGTGATCCAAGGATTGTAAAGACTATAATCAAATCTAAAAAAAAGGAATGGTAGCAAAGCTTAAATTGTGAACACCTGTTCTGCCAAAGACTCTGGATGACAGTGGAAGCCCAAAATCCATTTGCAGGAGTCACACACGGATTAAGCCTTTGGTGAATCCAAATCCCCTCTGAACATAATTGAGGGATGTGAACATCCCTCTTATCAGACAGAGAGCATTTCAAAGTTCATTATGACAAGCATAGTTAGGTTGAAATGTATTATCTTATCATTTGGTCTACGTTTTGAGTCATTTTAAAGCTGTTTCAGTTTTAAGAAATAAAACAAAAAGTGAAGGGGAAATTCATGTGGATTAAGCCGATGGTTAATCCCTCTGACCAAGGACCAGGGATGTGAACAGCCTTAGGATCATGCAGAACGCATTGGGTAGTGGATTGTTGGAGACGCACTTATATTAAAACTTAGCAGTTTATCATTTGATCTCCCTTATGATCCATTTTAATTTGTTCTAGTTATGAACATTTTCTCCTTTTTTAAATTGAGGTTTTTATCCGTCTTACTTTGAAAGTTTTTCAAAAATGGTTTTCTGCATCGGTAATCCAGGATAGGTAAATCCATAGAGACAGTAACTGGATTAATGGTTCTTTAAAAATAGTGCAGGGTATGTTGATGGAAAAAGGGAAGCTAATAACACTGAATACAAGAATGAACAAAATGTTCTAAAACTGAGTGTGGTGATGATTGCACAACTTTTCTTGATGTGATTGAACTATTGAATTGTATGTTGTGTGAATTATATGCCAATAAAGGTGCTAAAAATAAAAACAAAAAAAATCCAGAGTAATAGTAGTAACCAGAGAAAGAGAAATGCCACAAGACTCACTATCAGAAAGGAAATGGTGGGCATGTGCTGAATTTGAAAGCAAATGGTCTTTTAAAGGGGATTATCCACCACTTGGCTTTACTGATTGTTGTCATATGGCAATGTGGTCCAGAAAATATCGGGATTGTGATTTTGTTTCAAAACAAATTCAGATTGTGCAGTTTTATGTGAAATAATCAGATATTTCAAGTAATCAGAATTGTTAACTTTTAATTCAAATTTTACGCCCTTCTGGGTCAAAGAAAGCACATCTGTGGGCTGTCAGTAAGCAACTTTCAACTGGATTCCCTTCTCCCCTGCAGATGTACAAACGCTAGTAGAATGAAAGGAGGTTGCCAGGCTTTCCTTTATCAATATCTATAAGAGATTAGAGAACACTTCAAAAAGGAAACCAAGGTATTTCACCAATCAACAATCCGTAGGTGCTTTCTAGATTGCACCAGTGCATTCCTTAAGATTAAGATTTAAAATGAGACGTATTCACAGGACTTCTCTGGCTTTTAAAGAGGACAACTGAGAAAGCAAGCATTTCCTGAGAGGAATGTAAACTGTTGCAGGTTGTGATATTAAGGAAGGATCAAGGTTGTATGCTGAGGGGTGATTCTACAACAGATGAAGGGAGAATAGGACAACTGTTCAAGATTTCCAAAACCCTAGTTTTTTTAAATTAAAAAAAGAGGGGGGCAGGAGATAACATGGAGAGAAAATTCAGCTATTTTGTTATTCTAGATTGTTGGTTTCCAATTGCTATACTATGTTTGACAAAATTGAAAGGAAATATATGGATGTAGAATATATATATATACATACATACATACATACATACATACATACATACATATATATATATAACCAAATACACGGATACCATAAAACAATTTGCAGTTCCCTGAAGGGTGAGGAGAAATTGAGAGAATCATGGAGCACAATGTGTCATTTCACTCCAGACGGCACGCAGGATCTGTTCAGTGGATAAAGCAAAGGGCAAAGGATAAGGGCTCATTTCTATTTCTGGCATTGATTGCTCTGGGACGTGGAGGATCATAGTGCCACCTTGTGACTGCCAGGTGTGTTTATGTTACAGACACAACATATCAGTACACATCAGAGTCATTTTATGCATCATTTTTTCATATCTATAAATCATTTGCAGATTTTCAAACTAGATCTACTATAAAAGCAGGGAATGTTATTACCAATTCGTCCTCACTTGATAACTTATGGAATTGATGAAGAATGACAATGACCAGTCTCCAGTCAGTTGCCTATTGAGTTTTCTTGTTTGTTTTTCCTTTTTGCTCATCTTTGAGCCTACCATGTTATCTACTGGTGCTCTGCATTTAATTTAAATGGAAAAGTAGCTTCAGGTAGATTCAATATTTAAATTACAGACTCTACAGTCTCTGCTGGAAATTGAGGCAGCTATATTTGTTGGGCAAAAGAGGAATAAGCTCTACGCAAATATCCTGGAGGTAAACTTTCAAGCATGCATTATGTAAAAGTCTTTGTCCATGCCGTTCTTTTATAAGCTGTTCTTTAATAGCTTTAAGGACACTATTATTTTATATTCAACTCACATGCTTACCATCGTTTAGAAAAATGTAACATCGTGTTAGAGGTTAAATTCTGAGCAGGCAGTTTGTAGAATGTACGGATGATAATGAGGCCCAAATACCATGTGCAGAGTCTCCACTTCGATAAAGCCGCCATTGCATTCCTTCTGATCACTAGCTAGGGATGAACGCAGTCCCGTCCTCAAGAACAGAGCACTGCAAGAAGCTCAGGGAGGACAGGGCAGTCTTTCTCAAGGGTTTTCATGACTGTACCCTTGCACCACACTGAGTATTGGGGTCGCTTCGGTCACACAGACCCTAGGAATGCCTTGATTACATTGGTCAGAGAGTCCTGGACCAATCTTGTTAGCTCTTCTGTCTAGCACAACCTACATGTCCCAATCACAGTTCTGTTCCTGCTTCTGTCGTCCAACCTGTAGCTGTGATAAACTGACCAGCCGCTAATCATAATTTTGTGAACGTGTCTTTTATTCTCTGTACACTATTTAAGTGGCTGGGTGGCTATGAATCCTTGGATGCCATTGTGACTTCATGTTAACGGTGTCCCTAATCTGGATGGTATGCCTTTGTCTTGTTTTGGTCCTATTTAAATGTTCCCCTTAAATTATATTTAATGTTTACATGCTGGGCTGTTAACCAGAAGGTTGACAGTTTGAAAACACCATGGGAGAAGCATGAGGCTTTCTATTCCTGTAAAAGATTACAGTCTTGGGAGCCAGCTGAGGGGTTCTGCTCCATTCTACAGGCTTGCTAAGAGTTTGGAGACTGAGTTTTGAACCCTAAAAATATATGAATTTGAATATAAAGAAAATAGATAAAATACACTTACTTCTTTCTTACAACTTGGAGAATGATGTGGAAAACAATGCCTTTTATTTACAGCTACTTTAATTGTCCACCGACCATCATATCAAAACTCCAAATAAGAGCAAACATAAGAAAATAGCTCAGACTGTATAAAACAAGTGTATCATATGTTACCTAGTGTGTGCTTTTCAAGGCATTAGATGAGTTCACGAGTTCACGTAGTTTAATGTAATCTATCACCTCATCTTCTTGGACATCGACTGCAGCAATGCCCATTTACTCACAGTTCCCATCAATTCAATTACATAGAATTATCGGTGTCTTTTTCATCTATCAATCCACCCATCCATGCATGTATCAGTCTGAACCGTGGAAAGTGATATAAAAACCAGAGACTTCAGAGCATAAAAGAGAAAGAAGGCAGAATCGTTTGAAAAAGCATGGCTGTGTATGAAATCTCTATGGCAACCCAGCTCCATGTGGATGGTAGCACATGAGCAGAATCTCACTGGGGAAGGAAATGCATTTGAGGAGCCAGCCGGCTCTGTAAACGTTCTCTGAAGACAGCATCTGCGGGTACACTACCTTTCGGAGGGGTTTCAATTTGGTCTCCATGATGAAGTCGTATTTGCAGAGCTCACAGCACCGCGTGTCGGAGCTCTTGATCCACTGGTGGAGGCAGGACTGGTGCACAAAGCGCAGGGTGCCCGTGCAGCGGCAGGGAGTGATAAGCGGACTCTCTTCGTCCCCTTCGCAGTGGCAGATCCTGCAGAAGGACACGGCAGCAGGGTGAGACCTGACACACAGCTTCTCTCACCAGTGGGCTTTCACCCTTGTTAGTATTAGGCTCTACTAGAACCTACAAGCGGAGACTTAGAACCCAAGGGCATTTCCCCTCAGCTTTGAACTCGGGCTACCGCTATGACGAATATACATTTCCGTTCCCTTTCCTGGCTATTGCTGGGCTCTTACGTGTGATATGGGACTAGACGCTGGAACATCAGAAATGCACTGCCGTTCTATTCCTACACTAATGTTGGTTTGTAACAGCACAACTCTAATTTGTATGGCTGTACATACTTTATATGTAAATGTTCTAATTAATACGTATGCTGAAGAATAGTGTTACCTACTAACGTCATTGCTTTATTTTGATAATAGTTTCATGATGTCGGAGAGAACCGTAGAAAAATCTGAAAAATTTTAAGAAGGATATAGACGCTCAGCCAGAGACTGTTATAACGTTTTTATAAGGAAGAAATTTTGGCACGACGTACAGACTAAACTGACAATAATCATCATTGTATAAAAGTCACAAAAATTACTGGCTATAAGTTCAAATATAAGAAATTCTATTGACCGAAAATGTTAAATGCTACCTTTACCACCAATTCAATGAGTTTCTGAATTACCATGAATTCTCTATAGCATTAGATTCTATGTTATCTTTATTAATCTTATATCCAAATTATTCAAAATATTTAATTTTCCTCTTTGGATGAGGATTAAGCCTTTCTTACTTCTAGGTTCTACATTCAAATTATAGATCTTTCAGTAATGCTTAAAACTTCTCCAGCTCTTAGAAAGGGTTAAAAAAGTTAATTGGAGCTAATGCTTTAAATCTGTTGGAAATATGAATGTCATATGTTAAAAATTACATGTGTGATCTCACGGCTTTTGAACTGAGTCTCTGTAGCAAGGCTGGAAGTTCTGTATGCTTTCTCCTTCGAGCTACCTACCTACGTGATTGCCTGCCTATGTGTATCATCCACCTTCCCAGGGCATATGGAATGGATGCTCACATTGTTTACTGCAAAACGACATGGGGATTGAGACCTGACACTCTGGAACTGAAATGAAAGACGCATAGCGTCATATTCTGAGTCTCTTTTATTAAGGAAAAATAAAGTTATCAATGAGGAACCCAAAACTCTAAAACCTCTGAGGGGAAAATGAGGGTGTGAGGGCACAGGGAAGTCCATAATGAGTGCCATTCCTCCCCAGAATGAGTCAGGAAGCACAGCGTGGAAGGAGCAGTTGGATGTAGCAGCACTTAGACAAGGATCTGGGAATTTATTATTACTTTTAATCATTTCATTAGGGGCTCATACAACTCTTATCACAATCCATACATACATCAATTGTGTAAAGCACATTTGTACATTTATTGCCCTCATCATTCTCAAAACATTTGCTCTCCACTTAAGCCC